ATTCTTCCCATTTTGTTGATGCTTCTCAACAAAGAACACAGCCAAACCGGGTTGACCATTACGTCCACATCGGCCAAAGATTTGGGAGACTGCTGAAGCGTCCGCTCTTCCCATTTGATAGACACGCCGTACTCGTGTCCAGTTTTGACCAAGCCCTAAGGCTAAAGTACAAGAAACTACTGGATAAACCGAATTGGCAAAGTCTGCAATATTCGAAATCTTGTCTGTAGGACCCGTGTTGGAATGATACCTTCGAGCAAAGGTACTTTTTGAGTTGAATTCACCTTTTGGAACACCTCGCGCATGGTTGAGTGTTTTCAGCGCGGTCATTGTTAACTTCCTCGTGTTGCAATAAATCAGTGTAGGTGGAATTTGACTATTTGGAATCTCGGTTTCAAGTGCAAACTGATCCAAGAGATCCTCGAGTGTTGCTCGAGACTTTTCCATTGGTGATCGTAAGATTGTGATCTCTGGTCGAGTTAATTCCCCTTCTATATACTCAATATCACACTTTCTCATTTTTAAATTAGCATAAATCAAATCTCGATGCCTTGGTGGACAAGTAGCGGACATCAACAGTAATGGAACCCAATCAGTTGCTGCTAATCGCAATCCCATCTTTCCGTAAGAAGGTCGGAAGATACCTGCGTCTTGTATGCTTTTTGCCCAAGGTAGGTTCCTTTTCCCACTCTCAACAATCCCCCAGCGATATATCATATGCGCTTCATCAACGACTTTTAAAATTAAGCGATCACGAAACCATTGGCTGAAATACATGTTCTTGAATCTCTCGTTGTTTAAGAAGATTTCCGGACTCTAATACAGAAGTATCCCAAGATTTCAGTCCCTGAGCTAGTGATAGTACAGCTAAAGGATCAATAAATTGAACATACAACATATAAGACACTGTAAGCACCGTCCTGAATTTCTTCTACAGTCTTCTCGGTGAATGTTTCCGCAGTACAGTTGAAAGCAGCTATTCTGGCGCCGACTTTTTCGGTCACCTGAAGAACAGTTGCAGATCTGCTACTGTCAGTTTTCCATTATTTGACAACACCTTTGCCGTCTGCCTTTGCCAGGTACGTAGACAGATACAGTCAAACCCGCGCACATGCATACCCGCGCACATGCATAACCAGCCAAAATGCATAAGTTTTGGTTTCCACCCAGCTGGTGCGGGCCAATTTTGTCATTAATTGCATAATTATGTCAAAAACCATAATGCATACTTCTTTTCAAGTCCCCAAAGTCATAATGCATGC